GTTCCCTTTGGCCGTTGATTAGGGGCTGGCACCCGGTTTTGCCCGAGCTCCCAAATGGGGGGGGGAGAACGTTTAAACAAAACAGTTTTTTCCCCAAACATTTTACTGCACACGCATTACAAAGGTACATAGCAAGCCAGAAAACATGTCTTACAGTTAAACATAACAACAGCACCACTTAGCACAACACAGTTAACCCCTTTGTGATTGTCCCACCCATGTTAACCCCTTCCTGCCCAGATTGCCATTAGTACAGTGTCAAGTGCTTATTTAATCAGCACTGATACACCTGTAATTGGTGAGCGTCACTGGGAGATGTCCAGTGACACGCAAGTCAGATCCCCCCCAAGTGGTCAGAATGTAACCCCCACAGATCCCACTATCTAGGTCGCTGATCGCTGCCATTACTAAGTTAAACTAAAAAGCCCAGAGTAAATATACCGCCTATTTGTAAAGGCTATAACTTTCACGTAAACCATGATTGGGACTTTACGTGGTACATATCAGAGTGGAATAAACTTGAGTTACATAAACCAATTTACATGTTTATTGAGAATACATCCATAACCATGACATTGTGTAAAAACAATACTTGGCTAAAAAAGCCCCAAATCATAACATCATATGTGTTCTATGGCACATGAATCCTCCAAAAGATCCGACGCAGTTTCACTTGAATAGCTTCTTTTAAGATGTGTACAAGTTTGCTCCACTGACTTGCACCAGTAAAGTCTCCATCATGCGTTGTTTTTCTATTGAATTGTATATAAGGTATTGAGGTATCAATATGCAGTCAATAACATAAATGTTTCATGTCAACCAATTAATTTACATGTATTGGATTTTTTTTAGCAAAGACAGTAGCAGAATACATTTTGGCCAAAATTTGTGACGAAATTTGATTTTTTTTTATGGACATGTTTATAAACCATTTCAATAACCGTGCAATTTTACACCTTCCCTGCCCAGGCCATTTTTCAGGGTTCAGCGCTCTCATACTTTGAATGACAATTGCGCGGTTCATACAACACTGTACCCAAATAAACTAAAATTTTTATCCATTTTCTTCACACAACTAGAGCTTTCTTTTGGTGGTATTTAATCACCACTGGGGTTTTTATTTTTTGCTAAATTAACAAAAAAAGACCAAAAATTTGAAAAAAAAATCACATTTTTCTTTGTTTCTGTTATAAAAGTTACAAATAATAATTGTTCTTCATAAATTTAGGCCGAGATGTATTCTGCTACATGTCTTTGGTGAAAATAACCCAAATTAGGATGTATTTTTTAGTTTGTAGGAAAGTTATAGAGTTCACAAACTATGGTATAGATCTGAATTATTGATCAATCCTGAAGTACTCACAGCCAATCTAATTTCTTGAGCTCCAAGAATGTCAGAACAGTACAGATATCCCACCCCCCAAATGACCCCTTTTTGCAGAGTAGACAGTCCGA